CCAAAGATAAAAGTTATATAATTTTGATTAGCCGAATTATATACTTTTTTGATGAATGATTGACGAGTGGCATTATGCCAAATAAATTCATTTCGACTAGTGTTATATAACAATAATATTCTATAATATTTTATTTTTATCTTATACATGAATCTGTATAAGTCTATAACAAAAATAATATATTATATTATTCTTATAATTTTATAATACTTATATTTAAGTCTGTTATCTCTATAATTTATTTCTTTTTTTAGTCTCTATTAATTAAAACTTAGACAAGTTTGTATATTTATTTTTGATTAGGTTTTTTTTTAAATTTTTTATTTTAAATATTGTTATTATAATAAGTATTTAATGTTTTTTAATTTGTCAAATTCTTAATGATGAATTTTTAAAGATATATAAGTTTCTTGTTTTGTTCTATAAGTTCTAGTTCAAGATATTGTAAACTTTTTAACAAGTCAGTTACTATAACACAATATAATACTTCTTGCTATTACCTTAATTCTTTAGATATGTTTTTAATTTGATAAATTATTACTTTAACTTCTTTATTAACTAATTTTATAACCTTTTCAATATCAATTTCTCTAAACAAATCTTGATTCTTTTTTATAACCACATAACTCAAGTTATAAGTCTTCTTGGCACACTAAATATAAGAATTATTTTTAAATTTTATTTTATTGTTTATTACTTAATATGGCTTTCTAACTAACCTTATTTATATGCTATTGAATTACACATATATTTATACATATATACTACTTGAACAAAAGTCTCATATATTATTTATTTATTAATTACACAAAATTTTATATAATAATTTTATTTAAAATTTTAATATATTTTATTTTATATAATAAAATATCTATATATAAATCAATATTCTATTGGTTATTCATTATTTCTAATAACTGCTTCTATTCTTTGTAGCATACTTTCTATATAATTCATTAATTGATTTTTTGAAATTTTACTTTATTCTTTTTGTAATGCAATTTCTAATTTTTTAAGATTTTTTATATTTTCTGATTTATTTTTTATTTTTTTTTCCAATTCAGATCACAAATATTCAATTGGATTTAAATCAAAAGATTAACTTGGCCAATCAGGTAAAATTCTAATTTTATTTTCTAAAATCTATTGTTGAATATCTTTAGCAATATAAATTAAAGCATTATCATTTTGAAATAAATATCTCTTATAATTAAAATTATTATTAATTAAAGATAATAAATACTTTTTAAATATTTTAATATAACCTAATCTATTTAATTTATCATTTACTTTTATTAATGGATCTAATCTTTTACCTGAAAAAAATCTCTATACTATTATTTCTCCATTTCCAAATTTTACTATTGGAGTTATATTTTCAATATTATATCTTATATCAGAAGTTCTTTAAACATAATCAGAACTATTATTTTTGAATATTGTAAATTTACTTTCATTACTCTATATTATACATGTGGCGTAAATTATTTTGCTGTCGACTTAATTTCCAAAATCCTCAAAAATAATTATGTCATAACTCAATTATTTATATGTTTTAATAATGACTCAATTAATTGTATCAAATAATTGCATCAATTATGTCAAGAATCTACAAATTTTAGTAACATGTATATTCTATATAATAGTCTTCCATTTTTGAACAGTTTAATTTTTTCTTTTAATATATTATTTTAGATAATTTTCTCTTTATTGATTATTTAAAAGTGGTTTTTAAGCTAATATATAAGAAAAAATATTTATTTTATGTAAATTTCTTCTAATTGTCTTAGTAGAAACTTTAACATTAGTTTTTTTAATAAATTTGTTTTTAATTTGTTCTGCAAATTTCTTGTTATTTTTTTCAATAATTTTTTTTAAAATAGTTTTGTCTTTAAAAGTTAATAGTTTGGATATCCAATTTTAGAAAGAGTAGTAAGATTGTTTCTATTAAAATAATTTTTAATTATACAAGAAATAGTTGTTCTATAAATTTTAAAAAGTTTTGAAATTTTTAATAAGAATTATTTATCTTTATAGAGATCTATAATTTCACCACATTGACTTTCAATTAAATAATATATTTTTGAAATTAAAAATATTGAAAAAGTAGATGTATTTATATTTAATTTAATGTTTACTTATTGAAAAAACACGAAAATTATATGTGTTTTTTTAAAATATAAAATAATAACATTTTAAAATTTTAAATAAAGTTATTATATATATATTTTTATAATAATAAATTTAAAACATGTAATACTTTTGTCCATATAGTATATATATATGTTCTTTATATAAAAAAAAATCATAAAAATATTTATAAATTAAATAATAAATTTTTTATAATTAATAATTTTAAAACTATAATATTTTTTTTTCAAGTTTTATAAAATTAAAAAGATTATTAATTTATTAATTTAAAAATATTAATTTATAGAGGTTCTACTGTATATAAAAAGAATTTTTTTTCAATTTAATAAATTTTATTACTTATATTATTAAAAATATTTGTTTATATTTAATAAAAAATTAATAAGATATGTTTATTTTTAAAAATGTTATAAAACTTAATATTATTAAAAAATACATTTGTTGACTATTAATTGGTTACACGAGATCAATGTCATGTGCTAACAGAACTTTATTATAAGACCATATTTTTATATATTTTATGTAAAAGATTTCGCACAACGTCATATCACTTATATAGTAATCAATATTTCAAGTCTATAGGCTTGTATTTCAAATACGTATACCCGAATTTTTACCTCTCTTTGTCCCGTAGGTACGTTGTAAATTTGTGGCGTTTCATATCTCACTTTTTTTTTTGTAATCTAATAGTATCGGTTCTCCTTTTTGCCTAGCTTCTCTTATAATATAACGTGAGCATTTCGACGTTTTGACCGATAACGCTGCTGTACGAATTGCAGCACAACTTTGGTCACTGTGTGTTCGGAAAATAATATTAAGTTCAAGAAGACTGGTTGTGTGAATTCGTAAGTTCTACCTAAATAGGTATAAAGGATCCGGATGTGCTCATAAGTTTATAAGTTCCTCCACATAATAAAGAAATATTTCTGAATCTGTAGGTAACTTTGGAAGTTCAAAATAATAATAGCCTAGCTAAACAGCTTTAAAATTAAAACGTTTTATACCGCCGTTTATTTACAATATCTATTGGAACATTATAAAAAATATTTTCATAGGTTTTATATTGTTCTCGACTTTCCTATTGTGTTAAATTGTATAATTTCATATATGTGCAATTTTTTTTATCATCAGTGATTAACAATAAATATTTTTCATTAAAAGGTAGTTGTGGAGAAAGATGGGTCAGAGTCTTTCCTCTTCGGCAAATAACCAGGATCAAGATGGAGATGTTACGATGGCTGACGATTCTGAAACAAACGTAGATGTCAACGGTTCAGAATATAATCGCAACAACCAAAATGGTTCAACATTATATTCTTCACTACGACCTCATTCTAACAGAGCTAACTCGCAAGATCGAACACAGCTTCCTCAGGCCCTAACGTTTGACCATGCATCTCAAAATGGCTCACCTAGGGTTTTGCGTATGACACCAGCAAGACGTAGGCGGCAGCTTTCCAGCTTGCATCCTTTTTTCCCGACTGCAACGACTATTAACCAAACACAAATTCCACTAAGTAGACCTCTAAATCGTCTTCAGAGATTTCATCACGGTTCAGTGGACGATGTATCGTTAGCACCTAGACAAACTGATGCAATGGCTCCAAATATGTTACGAAGAAGTCGTACAATATCATCTAGCTATAGTGGACATGATTCTGATATGATGTATAGAATGGAAGATAATTCTTTTCCAAATACAGATACAATTTTTGACGTGAGACGTCCTCGATCTAATTCTGTGGACGCAATTGTAGATGGCGATTTAGGTGAAGATATATCGAGGTCAAATGCTCGTATATTTGATCGTCCACGTAGAACTAGTACAGACAGAGGAACGGAATCTATACGCTCACATCCAAATGAGACAATATCTTCTAATGTATCTGATCTCAGTTCGAACTCATCTACAGCCGGTACTCAAACAGATTCTTCAGCAGCATCTACTCAACGCTTAAGACGAAGAGTAACTCGCATTTCTGCACGAAGGTTATTTGGACCGGACACAGAAAGTAACAACAATAATAACGCTCACACTAATAATGAGGACAATGATACGGATAATCATGTTTTAGGTCGTCTGTTATCCATAGCAGCAGCAGCAACAGCAGCTTCGCTTGTTGCAAGTCAAGAAAATGCTGTTGTTGAAGCAGAGCGTGCTGCAAATGAAGGACATGATGGGAGTTTTGAAAGTTTCTTGGCAGCACTTCAGAGACGACGTCAAGAGGCTTCAAACAGACCTTCAAGTCAACCAACGACAACAAACTCGCCACCAACACCTAATGAAGAAGCTACATCAATTGATAATAATGCATCTAATACTCAATCATCACAATCAATGTCCTTTTTTCGCTTGTTTCGTTTCGGAGGATCTCGATCAATATCTTCACAATCAGATCCTACAACTGAGCCAGCCCCAAACACTTCATTACCTTCCACAACAAGAGATGAATCAAATGCTACTAACACCAACAATGGACCGCAAATGGTTCCAGTTATTATTATTGGTATTCGAAGCGTTCCTCCTCGTGATGATATAAACGGAAACCTTGCTTCTTCACAACAATCTGAAAATAATGTTCCAGATACAGACCATCGTAGTTCATCTGGAGGAAGATTTTCCCGAAGTAGATCTGCTTCAACTTCAAGTCGAAATTCAACTAGACCTACTGCATCTACTGGAACTCAAACACCACCACCACGTTCGTGGATTATTTACGTTTTAGGTGGAACATACCCTTCTACTCATCCCCTGCTCACCACACCGTCTTTATTTTCCGATAACCCTACATATGAAGATATGTTATTACTGTCATCTCTTCTTGGTCCGGCTAGGCCTCCAACTACGACCCAGAGGGAGATTGATGAGAATTTACCTGTCGCGCTATACAATGAGAGCATTCGTGGCGTGAACGAACATGTTCTATTGGGCAACGCAGAGAAATGTCAAGTATGTTTATGTGATTATGTCGCAGACGAAGAGTTAAGGGTACTTAATTGTCATCATGGATTCCATCGCGAATGTATCGATAAGGTTTGGTCTTTTCATTGGAATAAAGTCGATTTTATATGTATATTTATTTAACTCTTGTGCAAATTATCTATTCTAGTGGCTTACTGAAGGATCAAATAAGTGCCCCATTTGTCGAGGCATTGGTGTCCCACCTCGTGAAAATGAAACTGCTAATAATGCGATTCCAAATGCGATGGGCCCTTTCTTTTAGTATAGTATTTTTTCGAATATGTCTAGTTGTTATTTTGAACGATTTACATAGTACATTTCCTTTTTCTTTTTTTTCAAGTTCATTAAAGACTCAAATTGCTTTTTATGTATGTGCATTTGTTCTTATTATTTGGGACTGGTGGTATAAAATATTAGCTCATATATCATATGGTATCATTGCTTGGATATATTTTTCAAAAAACTATATAGCTTCTATTTGTATTTCCTTATACTGCTTAATCGCAGGTTGCAATTTGTGGTTTTGCACTAAAAGATTTATTCGTAAAAATTCATATATGAAATATCACACTACTAACTACATTTTTAATTTCCACACTCACATCTAGTGTTCACTTTTCATTGATGTTAAAAGCATCTTTTCTGAATAGTATTATATTGTTTTAAAATTCAACCTGGCTACCGTAAAGCCTATGTGATGCATAAATTTGTAAGAATCAATTAAACATGACAATTTTAAAATCATGATATAGTGTCAGGAACACCATTAAAACTACGAATGATTATATCAATGTCTTTGCTATCCTTTTTCAATGTTTCAATGTCGTGAACTATTCCGGTATGCTCAGCTCCAAGCACCTGAATGAAAAGAGAAAGTTACCTAATGAATTTTTTTAGTCAATAACCAAGATTCAATCAATTACCTTTGTAATATTCTCTAGTTGATTTTCGTCTACCGCGTTGAATTTGTGAATAACAGGTGACTCTCTAGAACCCCACTGTACTTTTGTTACATTATATTGCGTTTTGAGTGTTTCGAGTTTACGCAATGGTCTTTGTGTTCGTTGTTTAATGTCCTCTAGCCGCCCCTTCAAAGTCTCTTCATCTGCTCGTATTAACGTCCCTTTGAGTCTTAGTACTTGAATTTGTCTCATTAACTATTATATATTAATAAAATATTAAACTTCTTTCAATAAAAATTTACTTAATATTATTAATAAATAAGTAATTTCGAACCTTTATAACACGCTGTGTAAGCTCTATATGTTTTCTTTTTCGTTCTTCTATTCTCACTAAAGTTTCCAAACTATGTTTACGTTCCATTTCTTCAAGTTTTGCACCATATTCCTATTGAAAGAAACTTATAACTTTAGATATTAATATTTTCTCGATTGTTGAAATGCAAATATTAAGACCTTAAATTTTGCAACAGCCTTAGCTGTGATTTCTTCTTGTACTTCAATTCTTTTCTTGATATCCTCGAAACCGCAGACTCGGACAGGGACTAGGCTGTGCATAATTTATTTTCAATTTTATGAAATGAATAAAACATCAATACTACATCGACGTACATTGTTCTGTCTGGGTTATTGGATTGTGCCTCAATCCAAAGATTCTGTGGCATATTAGAAGGTGGAGTATAAAACTGAACTTCATCCGGATGAACCATATTATAAAAATAACTCTGTTAAAAGTATAGTAAAAGAACAATAATAAATAATATATAAATTACAATTAGATAGTAAAGTCACAATTTCCTACCTGGAATTTACAATCGGGGCTATTTGGATCCCATGAATTTATTATTCGCGCCAGTTCTTCATAAGGTGTTATTTGTTGTTGATCTAAACCAATAGATACCGGTTCAAATTTGTAAATCAAAAAATAATAAAGTAACAAGATAAACAGATATATATTCACTAGATTGTTGCTGTAAAGTCATAGTTTGTGTTGATGGATTTGTAAGTCCAACATTAGACACTGATGTTGGTTCATTATTTTGTTGATTAGATACCACGTGTTCATTGAAATCGACAGATATGAAGCATTCTCAAAAAAAAAGATATACCCATGGTAGGTGCAGAAGGTTGCATAGTTGAATTAAAAAGGTTCCCAAATGCATTTTGAGTGGGTTGTTGTGTTCCAGGTTTAAAGGGGTTCAAAGCCATCGAAGTCTGTGTAGTGCTACCAATTCCAAAAAAACTAGACTGAGTACTGGCACCAAGTCCAAATCCTAGAGGTTTTGACATCTGCTGCGAGGTAATTTGTCCAAAACCAGAAGGCTGGGATGTCTGTGCTCCACCGCCAAATCCAAAGTTTCCAGCATTCGTGGTGGATGTTTGTCCGAAACCAATACCAAATGGAGCAGCAGATGCTTGGTTCGCTGGAAACCCAAATCCAGGTGCCGCACTATTATTCGAAGCAAATCCGCCAAAACTTGAAGTTGTAGAACTTCCGAATGGAGTACCACCAGCAGGTTGATTGTTTCCAAACCCACCAAAACCACCAGAACCAGAGGTATTCCCAAATGCACTAGCGGTTGAGGTCACATTAAATCCACCACCTCCAGCCGGATTCCCGCTGAATAAGCCGCCAGAGGGAGTCGCACCAAATCCACTTGGAGTGTTACCAAAGTTATTAAAACCAAAGGCTGCGTTCGGCGTGGTCTTTGCGGTGAAGCCTCCGAAGCCAGTGTTCGATGTACTGGTTCCAAATCTAGAAAACGCCATTGAACTAAAAGTCAATATATAGTAGATATCTGATTTCTCGACAAGAGGTCCTGTTATTGTTACGTGTTAAAAAAAAAAAAAACGAACCCTCCAAAGCCAGTGTTGCTCGAGGCACTACTGGTCCCAAATCTAAAAAACGCAAGACACTAAAGTCAATTATATAATAGATAACCACTTCCGCAACCAAGTGAACATATTACTTTTATGTGCGTTAAAATAAAAAAAAAGGACAAACCCTCCAAAGCCAGTGTTGCTCGAGGTACTGGTCCCAAATCTAGAAAACGTCATTGACACTAAAAGTCAATTATACAATAGATACTGGTTTCTCGATCAAAAGGCCCTATTACTGTTACGTGCGTTGATAAAAAAGATAACGAACCCTCCAAAGCCAGTGTTGCCCGAGGTACTAGACCCAAATCTAGGAAACGTCATGGATACCAAAAGTCAATTATATAGTAAATAACGGATTTTTCGATGTTATGACGTGATTTAAAAAAAAATAAAAAAGAAAATAAATTAATTTAGCAGCGGGATGTTTCGATCATCCGACCTTGGGGTTATGAGCCCCACGCGCTTCCCCTGCGCTACGCTGCTTGATTTAGTTTTAATGGTTATTATATACATATACTGTATGTAAAACAGTTTCTTAAAGAATAAAAATATATACATATTTATTAAAACAATAAGTAAAAAAAATTTTTTTTTCAACTGAAATTACAAAAAACAAATGTTCCAAGGAAATTTTTATATTTCTTTGTAATAAAGTTTATATACTTTCATTAATAATACTTATATCAAGAGATTATAGTCTCTCCTACTTATTCCTTTCTTTCTTTGATATAAACTTCTTGTATTTTTGCAAGTAAATATAAGAAATACCTACCTATAAAGTTAAAGGCAAGAAAACTTTGTTAGGAAAAAAAACCTGTAGAAAAAATACATTCCTCTCTTTCTTCAAAGATTCAAGACTTTAAAAAAGACTGGCACAGTTTTTGGAACTCTTCTCTCATCTTCCTCAGGCCTCCTTCTATCTTTTCAAGCATGTAAATTTTTTTCTGGTTTTTCTGAAGAATTTTGCCTACCTCAATTTGACACTGAATTTCTGGTTACACTGGAACTCTTGAATGATGATTGGCTTGAATTTAGGACTGGTTGATCTACATGTAGCAAGAAATATAAACAAGACACGTAACTCCCACGTGCCTTATCTTGTACAACACAAAACCTGATGATGCAATTGGATATAGTAAAAAAAGCAAGGCTTCAAAGTACTCTTTTTGTTAAGAAGTGTTATGGTGTTCCCCCTCCCCTCTTGAACTGGTTTCTTTTCTCTTCAATATCAAAAGAAGTCTCATCCCAATCCAGTAAGAAGCTTCTTCTTTTGTTGATTATCCCAAGAAGGCAGCAAGCATTAATATAAGTCTTGTCTCAAGCAATAATTTCCAATAGGTGTAAGACTTGTTTCAAGCAATATGTAAGTCTTGTAATAAGTACTTTGAACATTTTTGGTTAGCAAGTGAATAGTAGAAATTAAATAGCTTACTGGCTACAGGTAGTGGTAAAAAATTTATTCTGATAGACCAGAGTTGATATTGAAGGGTTTTTATTTACCAGAACAAACTTTTCATTTATCCTTTTTACACTCCTTTTTTTTTCTTAAAAATAAAATTTTTTTACCTCTTAGGACTACAGGTTCGTGTTGGGGTAACAGCCTGAATATAGGCTAGCAATGATTTTTCTTAAAGCATAGAAGCAGTTTTAGAAAAGGAGCAATTTTATTATTACACACGATCACGCTTAGAGAGTTAAAATTTGGAAAGTTTAAGATAGTTAATATCATGCAGTAATAGCTTAATAAATCAACTCCCTTGTAATGAAATAGTTAGTAAATAGCTAAATAATGTGGGCAACATGGTGGTCTTGATATTAAGGATTCAAGGATCACATACAAATCTAAAAATAACTTGTCGACAGGTGTTCTGCAATAAGACACAGTTTAGCTCTAATATAAAATTCCAGGGTTTAATGTACTATTGTTTTATTTGTACAAAAATCAATAATTAATAAATACAGCGATTGCAGTCTGATTAGAGACAAAAAAAAATATTATTAAAAATAAAATATTTTCAAAAAATATATTGAATAATTTCAGATTTATTATGTAACAAATACCTATTAATATATAATATATAATTCTATATATTTTAAATTTTCAGATTTGATTTAATTAGTATCACTCACTACTTGCTATCTATGTATACTATTATAAAAAAAAAGTAATATATAAATAATAGAAAATTATAAGAGTAATATGATAATATAGTAAATATATTTTATATAAATAATATAGTAAATATATTTTATATAAATAATATAGTAAATATATTTTATATAAATAATATAGTAAATATATTTTATATAAATAATATATTAGATATAAATAGTATATTAGATATAGACCTGTGGATCTGTAGTGTAGTGATTAACACTCTATAGGTCAAATCACAAGATACCAGTTCAACTGCATGTAAAAACAGTTGAATAGAATTAATATGATATCTGACATCATAACCTGTATAAGCACTGTTTTATATGAGAAGCTGTTTCATATGCTGATTCAACAGGTGTTGAGATTGTGATTTCCAAAAGATATTGTGGCATGAAAATCATCCAGTTGGTGTTACGATAATTGCCGGAAGTTGTAAAATGTATAAGATGTCCATTTTCGGTAAAAGATGACTTGGTAATTGTTTTCTTGTAATATCTGGTATCTCTTCTGCAAGTTTCCAGAAAGGTCTTATTCCAATCCAGTAATAGATCACTTTGACAATTATCTATCCCAAGAAGGCAGCCAAAACAACAATAAGTACTGATAGCTGAAACAATCTATAAGCAGTAAGTCTATAAAATAAGTTTCTTAAACATTCTTGGATAGCTCTAGGAAGATGGAAATTAAATAATACGCACATATACAGGTGGTCAAATTTAGAAGAATTCTCTTTGCAATGGTTCTATTTGCCAAAAATAGGTACTATCCCCAGTTCCCCATATTCAAACTTCCCCTTAAAATTTCCACAGTGCCAAATAGAACATAACGATATAATAATAACACTAATGGGGCTTTGGCACATTAGCCTTAGTATAACCTCTCTGGAGTGACACTGATAGCAACAAGCTGATATGAAGTAAAATCGATATAGTCTAGCAATGCATAGAATTGTTCATAGATAGTAGTTCCTGTAATACATAAAATACATATGTGAATAAAATAATAAAGTATGTTAGGCAAGGCCCAGCTGGTTAAACACACAAAAAAAAAAAGTATATTAAATATAATAAAAAACTCTCTTCTGATCACATCCGTTTTGTTAAAATTTTTTCTTTTATAGTAATTTTAAGCAAGAAAAAATATTTTACTCTCTTTATCGCAAGTGAGCCCCAGCTCAGAAATTCAAAAATCTTCAAGACAAGTGGTACAATAGAATGGGGTCTCTGGTCAAAGTCTATTCAAGTTTGAGAGTCTTGCTTATCTTTTAATTGCATGAGGAAAGGCCTGTGGCAGTTCTCTTTTCTTCAGTTCTCTTGTATCTCTCCTTACCTTTATTCTATTATAAAAATCATTCATATCATTACTATTATACTCGCTAAATTAAATACTTTCCAAAATATATATTAGTGGATCTACTGTTTGTTTCAAGTCAAACCTTATACACAATATTTTCGTAGCAATATTTGCTGTGTCACTTTCATCCTCCAAAAATTTCTTACTTAAAAAACCGAAATCAGTTTATCCCCTTCAAATGATCAGTACTCTTCAATCATTCAATTAGATTTTGTTTAATGATCAAAACAAAAACCAAACAAGCTCAAACTAGTTTTGTATCACAATAATAATCACAACAATAATAACAAATAACTTACCATCAATGACCATAACAACAAACAATATCATATATACTCTATTATCTATAGCACGCAAAGAACCAGAGAGTTGGGACCATGAGCTTACCAAGGAGTTCTTTTATTCAATGCATAGATTATATAGTATATTTGATTTAGTTCTAGTTATAGTCAATTTTATTTTTCTTTTCAATTTTTTACATCCAAAAAATCAAAAGAATTCACAAAATTTTCTGAAATGATAGGCATAGCCGCTACTCAGCCTTATTTAGTACATTAATATTGATTTTGAATTTTTTTATGATATTGGTTAGATAAGAATAGTTAAAAAGAAAGAAGATTGGAAATAATTTAATAATAAAAATATTGTATTCTATTTTGCTTTTAAAATTGATCTTGTGAAAACTCTACAATATTGTCTTATTGATCTATAATTTACAATTTTATCAAATTTATATACCATTTTTGAGAATGATTTGAACTCTTGAGTAATGTTACATAGTATAATTCAAAGAGAAATGACTGGCTTACTGTTTCACTATAACAATATCAATAAGAACAAAGTGCAATTTTGAAAGAACAATTAATTGAAACATCAAGTAATTAATATATTAAGATTAGATTACTAAAAATAATAACAAGATCAATATTGTTATCTTCAATTTTTTTATAGTATTTATAAGATATGTCTTAAATGAATTAAATACAAAAAATACAAATTCTTTTTTGTTATTTAATCAACTTGTAGTGTTACTTTTAATTCAAATAAATATTTTTGACTCATTTATTCAATCTTTTTTATAAAAAAACAATTATATCAGATGGAGACACTTTTTTAATTTTGAATAATTTTTTATTTTTCAAAGTAATTATATTAAAAAAAATTAATAAATATTAAAAATCTTATTTTTTCAAATATAAAAAAACAATTAATTAATAGATTTGATATACAGAGGGTGATCACAGGTATCAGAACGGTTATGTTTTTATTTATTATTTACATATTTTAGTTTACACGTAGTA